GACACTAAGATATTAGGGAGTTTTAGTGCTGGGTACACATTCTATCGGGGCGATGCGGGCTTGGGAGCGCGCGGGGTTGCGTGCCTAACCCATACCCAACCGGAATGCCTTTTAGTTGGCGCCACTAGAGTGCCTAGAATATTTCTTATTCTAGGCACTCTAGCGCCACGGTGGCACGCACGCAAACGCAAGCCGCACGAAGTTCACACGCGCTCGCAGAGCCATAGCGTCTTGTGGCGTAAGTATCATTTAAGTATTTTTATGGTTTAAAATGTTAAATGAAACATACATAGTGATCAGTACACTTTTTTCATTGTGTGCAGTAATCTGGCACACGCAAAAAAGTGAAAAATACAAGGTTACTGTAACGACAGTGTCGACATTTTGTGAGACTTCGTGCAACCGCAGTCATGAACATGTTAGCTTACGCGTAATGTTTTTTGGGGGGAAAATGAATAAAAAGGTTAGTCATTTGTAATATTTCCGCTGCGCAGGTTTTGCACCAGATGTGCAATGCACAATGTTTCTGCAATAACAAAGTTGTGGTTGTCTGTTTCACTATGGCCGCGTTAGAGTGCGCCACCTATTCAGCTGGTCGGGGGCTGGCATATGCTTTTTAATTTCTATGTTCGAGGCCATTCTAGCTTTGAAAATCTGGCTGAAACCGTGTAATCGCTATAAGTGCTCGTACTTTGGCCTATTTTAACTCGATGGCTAGAGTATCCGCAGTTCGGGTACCGTGAGCTCTTGCGAAGGTGGACCGCGCGGACGCATGGCCCCATCGCCCCAGCGATCTTGCGACGCATCTGTTTGGGGTTTGGCGCATGCGCAATACCGCCGCCCCAACGTCCTGCGTACGCAAGCCGCTTGGGTACCCAGCACTAAAACTCCCTACTAAAAAGTACAGCAACACCCTTGAGTAAAATAATATGTCACATCTTTCAGCAATCACTATCAACAGGACAGCTTCCACATGACTGGAAAATTGGAAAGGTCATCCCCGTGTTTAAAAGCGGCAATAAAAACTCACCTCAAAATTACAGACCCATTTCTCTGACATCCATCTGCTGTAAGATGCTCGAGCATATAATCGCCTCCCATATTTACAATAACTTAGAGCAGAATGACTTTTTCTTCCCTAACCAACTTGGATTTAGAAAGGCCCTATCATGCGAAACACAGCTTTTTGAATTCACGACTGACCTACATCATCACTTAGTTCTAATTTTGCAAATTGACTGTCTTTTTCTGGATTTTTCCAAAGCTTTCGATCGTGTTGCTCCCTGCCGCTTAATCACTAAACTCTCTTCTTTGTGTATATATTCATCAACTCTGTCATGGATACGGAACTTTCTTACTAACCGGCAGCAATTCACCATTGTTAATGACTTTTCATCCCCACCACTTTCCTACGTTTGTTCTGGTGTGCCACAAGGGAGTGTACTTGGTCCACTGCTTTTTCTTATTTATAATAGTGACTTACCAAGTAATTTATCCTCACAAGTGCGCACTTTCGCTGATGAGTGTATAATTTACCCAGCAATAACTAGTACTTGTGACCGCGTAATGATTCAAAATGACCTCGACCTCATCAGCAATTGGTGTAATAGTTGGCTAGTGTCCTTTAATTCAACTAAATATAAACTAATGTCCTTCTCTCGCAAACATACTAACTCTGAGTTTTTTTTACTTTATTAATGGCAATACCGTATCTTGTGTTGACTCTTTTAAATATTTAGATGTAACCTTCACATCTAACCTTTCTTGGACTACCCTCATCACCAACATCTGCAGTGACACCTCACGATCATTAGGCTACATACGCCGCAATCTACGTAAGACGCCCAAATATATACGTGCTTTAGCTTACGTAACATTTGTTCACCCTCAGCTATAATTCGCTTCTACAGTTTGGTCCCCTCATTACAGCTATTTAACTAACATGCAGGAATCGATCCAGAATAGAGCCGCTAGATTCATCTCACAAAACTACGACCATAGCACAAGCATAACACAAATTTAAAAAAAACTTATCACTTTCCCTTTTTAGCAGCCGATGTGATCTAAACCTCCTTTCATTATTCTATATATATGTACATGAAACAAGGCCATTATCATTGACATTGAAAACATCTGCATTCACATCAAAGAGACTAAATAATCATCTTTCATTCACACGCATGTACGGTAAAACATACATTATTAACTCATCTGCACTCCCCCGTGTCATCCGCATGTGGAACAGCCTTCCAATTGAAATCGTTGCAGAACGCAATCGGGAAAAACTCCGGCACCTTTTACTCACAAATTTACAAGATTAACTGCACGTTTTATTCATATCAAAATCGGCACCTACGTGTTTATCCACTACTAGTATCTCGTTTTTTTTTCTCTTACTTTAAACTTATTTTGTTTGATAGTTTGAATACTAACATGCCATTCAGTTCTGTTGTGTTTTATTCAGTGATGTTTTCATTTGAATAATGGAAAGTCTGTTCACAATTTGTGCTTGTTTTTTTAGCTTGTTTTAAACCATTATCTCACGCGTATACTCATCTGATGTTCATTGCCGTTCTATTCCTATTAAAATTATTATTAATATTTTCTCATTTTATTCCTGTTAGGATTTGTATAATAATTGACATTTAGTTCATGTTATTGTTTGCATGGAAAGTGTACCAATTCATCATCATCATCATCATATTTTATTTCCTTAAAGACCCCACAAGGGGGTATTACATAAGGGGTGGATGTACAGGATATAAAAAACATTTGCCACATAAGGGGTTGGTATACAGGATATAAAACTTTTGCTACATTCAAAGTATAAAATATTGCTACATAGGTGTGGGTATATATATTGCCATAAAGTTTCACTGACAGAGATGAGTTGTTACATTTTTAGCGAAAGTTGATGGGCAGGTGATTGTGACGACGTGGTTTGGGAGGTCTTTCCAGTCCTTCACAGCACGCGGAAAGAAGGATGCGGAGAAGGTAGCAGTCCTAGTGCGGTAACGGGAGACTTGGAGGGGGTGGCTGGTGCGGTGCGAAATGTACGTCGGAGGGATGACGTATGGAGGATGGTTGAGGGGCGAATGAAACAGCTTATGAAACAGGAAAAGAGTGGCTATGCGGCGTCGAAGGGCAAGTGGCTGCAATCCAGATTGGGCTTTTAAGGATGAAACACTGATGTCATAAGAATATGACGAATGTATGAATCGGACTGAGCGATTTTGAATTGATTCAAGGTCATTGATTAGGTAAATTTGAGGTGGATTCTATATAGCAGAGGCGTATTCCAGTTTTGGCCTGATGAGGGATGTGTATGCAAGAAGTTTTACGTGTTGAGGTGCGCAACGCAGATGACGTTTCACGAATCCCAATATTTTGTTTGCAGATGAGATAATGTTTGTGACATGCGCATTCCAAGTTAGATCGGCGGACAGTGTGACACCTAGATATTTGAAACACTGTACTATTTCTAGAGGGGCGTTAGTGATTTGGTATGGGAATAGGAAAGGATTTTTGCGGCGAGTGAATGAGACAACCTTACACTTGTTGGGGTTAAGTTTGAGAAGCGAATTGTCACACCATTCTTGAATGTTGTTCAGATCGTGTTGTAGGGTTAGTTGATCGGAAGCATTAGTTATTGTATGGTAGATCACGCAATCGTCGGCGAACATGCGGATTTTGCAAGACACAGTTAGTGGTAGGTCATTAATGTAGATTAGAAATAGCAAGGGGCCAAGGACGCACCCTTGCGGTAGTTACTTCGAGAGGTTCAGAGGATTCATTATTTACGTGCACGAATTGAGAACGATTAGCTAAAAAAGATTTAATCCATCTTAACACGTTAGGGTCAAGATTTAGCCCGGATAACTTCTGTATTAGTTTGTTGTGTGGAACTGTATCAAATGCTTTTGCGTAGTCAAGGAAAATGGCGTCAGTCTGAAAGTTGGTGTCAAGATTTGTATGTATGTCGTGAAGAAAGAGTGCTAATTGTGTTTCACAGGAAAGTCCCTTGCGGAAGCCATTCTGACAGGTGTGAAAGAAACTATTGGAATCGAAGAAGTTGATAACATGAGAATATATGACATGTTCCATGATTTTGCATGGGATGCTTGTTAATGAATAATTGAGTGGGGAGTTGCTGTCGCCTGCTTTGTAGACTGGAACGACCTTACCAATTTTCCAGTCATTCGGAAGGTCGCCGGTGCTGAGTGACTCATGTATATATTCATGTATATATTCCCTTTATGCTCCCCTTACACAATGCCCTGATGGGTCTGTAAGGTATTTTGAATATATATATATATATATATATATATATATATATATATATATATATATATATATATATATGTGATGTGTGTGTGTGTGTGTGTGTGTGTGTGTGTGTGTGTGTGTGTGTGTGTAATGAAAAGTAGCGTAAACTTAAAAGCTCGTTTTTGTCGTTAGAAACGATAATAATAAGTACAGGGTACATTATGATTGGCCGTGTTGGTGCAACACCATAAAGAGGTGCATACGACAAGAGCTATGTAAAAGAGACGAGAGAGCACTCAAACGCCAACAATTTATTTCTTGCAAGAAGTCTTCGCTTTTATACAGTCACCAATTTCCTATGTCATGCGCGAAACACAAAGGTATGAGCGGAAATTACTCCAGTAAAGAGAAACAGCGCGAAAGACGGCAGACCAGGCAATAAGTATCTCGTCCTTTGCGCTGTTTCTCTCTAACATGTCATACAAACTTGTCCAAGCAACCACTTTAGCTAGATCGGAAGGTGACGCATTTAGTCATGCATGACGTCACAATTTATTGTGCGCGGGATGTCTGACGACACAATTTTGGTGCACGAGGTGCTTGCACGATACGCGTGGTGTAATGGCACGCATGCATGTGCACGATCGATGTGCATGCTATGTCGGAGCACCACTGCAGAAGTTACGTCGCTAATTGTTACACGCATTCAGCACGAGAGAAGTCAATTCACCCACCTTGGTACTTTTCACGGATGCACGATTCCAGTTCCGGAATCACACTCTCTCGTAGAGCCACTTCATCCTCATCAGGAATACAAATGTCTGCAGGTTGACAGAACAGGACCATCAAAAGACCATCACCAAGCGTTCACTCCATAGCACTATCCTGTGAAGATGCGCATGCACCTTGTGATTTCATGTTTTGCAAAACTTACTCAAACAGTGTCACTTGGAAAACTGCAATTGCGCAAAGAAGAACGATCTCTTTCACCATGATGTAGCAAGGCCGACGTAGAAAAGTTTTCTTGCTTTGCAATGAAGCAATCCTTGCACAATCTAACTCACAATATTTGCTCCAACAGTCTAAATGAAACTGCGATACATATCTACTCCTCATCAGTAAAGCTTCAAGGCATATTATAGTAAAAAAAAAATGCACCCACTTCCCTTAAGGGAATCGTGAGAAAATGCTAATGCATCGCGTAGCGTCCATAACAGCGTTTTGCACGTGAGAACCCAGCGTTAGAAGAACAATGCTTTCTTTTTTAAATGCGAAGCCTTTCTTAGCCAACTTCGGCAACTTCGAGCGTATCTATCTATCTAGCCACTTACGACTTTTAGCTCTCCTTGCTGTTTCGGTAATAGCATCAATACCAAACTTGTTATGGAATAGCATGACTGTATGAAGAACATATTTGACTAGTCATAACATAAAAATCCTGATATGTAGGTCATGAATGTCATGATTTAAATTTCATGTTCCTGCAGCTCTTGCAGTGGTTTCGTTCACATGGCATTTTGTACGGTATGACATGAATGCATGGCGAACACAAGCGACAAACCCTAACATGAAAATCATGACGTGTGTGTCATATAACAACATGACTACATGCCACGCTCATGATGCTCTCGCGGCCATTTCGCTAGCGTCACATATACCAAATTTGGTATTACGGTACATGAATGCATGAAGAAGGTATTTGACTGGTGCAAAGGTGATAATCATGAGATGAGTGTCTTGTAACTACATGACTACATGCCACGCTCATGATGCACTGGCAGCCGTTTCACTACCTTCACTTATGCCGAATTTGGTATTACGGGACGTGAATGGATGACGAAGGTATGATACTGGTGCAAACATGATAAACATGAGATGCGTGTCATGTAACAACATGACTATATGCTACGCTCATGATGCGCTCGCAGCCGTCTCACTAGCTTCACATGTAGCAAACTCGATATTACTCGATGCAAACGGACGACATAGGTAAATGACACATCTAAACATAATAATCACGACATGCTTGTCATGTAACAACATTAATACATGCCACATTGATGATGCGCTTGCGGCCATTTCGCGAGCTTCACATATGCCGAATTAGGTATTACGTGACGCCGATGGATGACGAAGGTATGTGACTGGTGAAAACATAATAATCACGAGATGCGTGTCATGTGAGAACATGACTACATGTCACAGTCAAGACGCCAATACATTTCGACGTGACGCGGTGCGCGTCCTCACCGGTGTTCATTTCGTCGTGTCACGCCGGCGTTAATTGCTACGCCAGGCGCCGGTACTGCCATATACTCGCGGACGCGCACCGCGCTGCGTTGCTTTGACGCATGCGCGTTTCAGCGCGTCCGGCGTCCCTCCATCACGAAAACAGGTGGTGGTGGTGGTAAAAAACATTTATTTCGGAAAAAGTATACTAGAGAGTGCCGACGTGGCACATCGGCGTGCTAGAGTGGCAAGACCCTATTCCGGGACGCCAGTGGAGCTGGAAGCTGCCCGTGCGCGCTCCACCAAGGAGCGTTGTGCAGCCAAGGTAGAGCAGCCGAGCAGGTGCTCCTCCCAAGCCTCTCTAGTTGGGATAGGAAAAGGGGGTGAGAAAGGACGGGATTAACTGGGCACGATGCTACGACGTGATATGTGTCGGCGAGGACATGACAGGTCGAGCAGGTGCCATTGATTTCCGGCAAAAAGTGCCTGGCGACCGCCGGACTGATAAAGGTGTTTGTCTGCAGGCGGCGTAAGCAGTCGTTCGTCCGCTTTCTCCAAACCGCGTGCGGGGTCCGGGTAGAGGCGGCGCGAAGCCCGGTAATAAGCCAAAATTTCGCGAAAGCGCGTCAGGTTGGTATTGCCAGATTCCGTCTCGGGACATGGAGGGGCAACGGCCCGGACAGGAGAAGCGCGGGCAGCGGCATTTGCCGCCTCGTTGCCGGGCAGGCCCGAGTGGCCTGGGGTCCAGACTATACGAGTGGGATGAGGGTTAAAGCGCCAAGAGGCTGCCTGTAGCAGGCTAGCCGCCAGCGGGGCAATGGAACCCTGAAGGTACTGAGAACAGGCCGAGCGCGAGTCCGTCAGGATGGTGCGTGAGGCAGGGTGAGAGGCGGCCAAAGCTATGGCAACCTCTTCAGCGTGCGTTACTGTGTCTGCTCGAAAGGAGAGGCCATCTACGTGTTTGCCCTCTGTAATCACGGCAGCCGTGAAGTGACCCGAGGGGGAGGGACCCGAGACGTCCACGTAGAAAACACCAGGACGATCGGAGTGTCGCGTATGAAGGGCCGCGGCGCGTGCTAGTCTACGGCCAGGATGGAGGTCGGGGTTCATATTACGGGGTAGAGGTTCCACCCATAGCTTTTGACGCCAGAGCTCTGGTACAGGCTGCAGAGGGTCTTGGTCAGATATCGGGTTAAGGCCAAGTCTGTGTAGAAGACGGCGCCCTGAAGGCGTCTGCGACAGTCGATTGATTTGGTTAACGCGATGAGCTTCGCGCATCTCTGCAAAGGTGTTGTGTACCCCCAGAGCCACGAATCGGCTGTTGGAAGTTGCAATAGGTAGGTCCAGAGCGCGTTTGTATACTGAACGAAGAAGGACGTCCAGCTGGTGCTCGTGTCGACGACGCAGGCGAAGGTAAGGCAAGGCGTAGAGGACGCGACTGGTCACAAACGCGTGGGCCAATCGGAGGGACTGAGACCCGCGGAGGCCGCCGCGCTTGGTAGAAACTCGCCGTATCATGCGGCTCACCTGTTCGCTGGTGCGTCTGAGGCCTGCTATTGTGCCCTTTGGATCCAAGGACGATGTGAGGTGAAGGCCAAGAACCCGAATGTTTTGCACTGACGGGACGGGCCCAGACAGAAGAAAAATTTGAGGCGGCGGTAGCGGAGAGACTGAAAGAAGAGCCGATTTAGCTGGAGAGCACTCCAGGCCGCATGAACTTGCGTAGGTGTCCACCAGAAGGGCAGCCTTTTGCAGGCGTTCTTCGATTTGCGCTAAGGAGCCGGTGTTGGTCCAGATTGTGATATCGTCCGCATATAGTGCGTGTTGTATTCCCTCGACCTCGCTTAGAAGAGAGGGAAGGTTCATCATCGCCAGGTTAAAAAGCAGAGGAGACAGGACTGCCCCTTGAGGTGTACCCCGCGTGCCTAATAAGTACGGGCCGTGTTCGGTAGAATTAAGGCGAATGAAGGCGGTGCGATGTGATAGAAAGGCGCGAATGTAGTTGAAAGTCTTCTGCCCGCAGTTTGTGGTAGACAGGTTAGTGAGTATAGTGCTGTGTTTGACGTTGTCGAACGCCCCACGGAGATCGAGAGCGAGCACGGCTTTATCGTTATGGCGCATAGTAGTCGGCTCTATGATATCGTGTTGAAGCTGGAGCAGGACGTCCTGCGCCGACAGATGGGGGCGAAAGCCAAACATCGTGTCGGCAAAGGTCCTGGCCTCCAAGTAGGTGGAAAGGCGTTCGCGAACCATGGTTTCCATGAGTTTGCCTGCGCAAGACGTAAGTGAGATGGGTCTCAGTGCCTCAATACTAACGGACTTTGCCGATTTGGGAATGAATGTCACGACCGATGTGGTCCATTCCGTCGGAAGCGGAGAGCCGTCCCATATCGAATATTGGTGTTACGTGACGTCAATGGATGACGAAATATAGGAATGGTGCAGACATTTTAATCCTAACACGCGTTTCATGTAAGAAGATGACAACATACCACGCTCATAGGGTGCTCACGGCCGTTTCGCGTCCTCCACAAATACTAAATTTGGTATCACGTGATGCAAATGTATGACGAAGGTAAAAGACACATTCGAGCATGATAATCTTGACACGGAAGTCAGGCACGGCATCATTTACCTCCACCTCGTAACGTTGCGCTGATTTTAAAGTGACATATCAACATTTCTCATTCATGCTTCGCATATCATCGATTCCCACTGTTCATGGGATCTGCCATTTTTTCACACAGTCCAGCTAATAGCGTTGTTCGCTGCACGTGGCGTTTTTCTGTCGCGAGGAATGCGGTATGCGTTTGCAGCTCTAATATTTAGCGTGCATGGTTAAACAATACAAGTGAACAAAACAAACAGCGTTTTCGGCTCGGCGTTGGCGTTTCACACCGGCGTCCCGAGCGCACAGTTCCGGATGTTCTTGAGAGGCACCCAGCCAGCGAACGGTCAACAGTGAGGCGGGAGCAGACGGGAAAGTGGGGCGCACGAAAGAAGAGAGAGCGAACGACGAGAAAAAGAACGCTGAACCACTGTACCTAGCCTCTCCTACACTCTCTCGAACCACATGCTCCGGTTGCTAGAGGCGACGATAAGAGTGCGCGCCCGCAGCTGTTGCTATGGAAGAGGGAGTGAGAGCGGAGAGATAACCCCTGCCGGCGCGCGGACGCCATGCGGACAACGACAGACGCCTGACATGGCCCGACTAAGAAATGTATTCGCATTTTGAAAAATGGCATTTGATCTCCGTGTCACCAGATCTAGGCAAACTATAAATGATGGCGATAGGCGGACCCATTAATCCATGGAAGCAGCTGCATACGCGTGATATCATGAGAGAAAGGAAGCATGATACATAATTACAGTAAACATACCAAGTGATTTTGCATGGCAGTAAATCATCACGTATTCAGTGCTTACGTCTCCGCCCATTTTTTCACGTCATATATGCTCGCTGCCACAAGTAATCTTGAATCAACTGGCCCACCAGCGCACTAAGAACGAATGACGAAGAAGCAAGCCTTTTTTACGAGAACGTGCTGATCTTGCTCTGTATGTCATAATCACCAGCAAGAGCACGTTC